CCAGCTCAAGCTGCAGTTCGAAGAGCTCGAGGTGGACTATGAGGCCATCCGCAGCGAGATGGAGCAGCTCAAGGAGGTGAGCGTGGCCCGCCCGGCGCCCCTCGCGTCCTCCGCGTCCCCCCGCCGCGCTTGTGCCCCGCGTCCCTGCCGCTCTTGGGTGGGGGGAGCACCAAGGTCACCCTGCCTGGGAGGGGTGCTGAGCATGGGTGCGCGGCGGGGCCGGGCGCCCTGCCAGCCCGCTGCTGATGCGGCCTCGACGGCCCGGGAGGGGCCGGGCTGCGTTAGCTGATGCCCGGTGGGGTCAATGCCACGGTGCCTCCAGCTGTGGGATGGGCTTGGGGGAGCTGATGCGAAGTCGAAAGCAGAGGCCGCGGACATAAGGGACCCATTGTCCCATAAAGTCCGAGCCAGGGCCTGGGTCTCGGTGGCTGATCCACTGTCACCTTCAGACAAATCACTTCCCCTCTATGGGCGCAGCTGATTTCTGCGGTTTCAGCTTCTTCCTTGAGTGCCTTGAGGCCAGCTAAGGGCATGAGGGCTTGAGAGAGTCGGGGATCTGGGTTGCACATGGCCCGCAGCCCCTACTGGGGTCCCCCGTGTCCCCTCTGCCCTCCCAACCATCTGCCCTCATCTCTGGTTGCTCCCACCGGCTCCCTCGCCACTTCCTGTCCTGCTCTCCCAGTGGCAGTCTGTCTTCTGCACACAGGGCCTGTGTCATTCCCACTGCGGAGAGAGCTTGGAACAGGCTAGCTAGGGCTCCTGGGGGCGGGGCAGTCCTCCTTCTGGGTGATTTAAATACCGGTTCCTCGCCAGGATCCTGGAATCGCCTGCCCTGCTGTGGAGGGTGTGGAGGGAGAGGTTGCTTTCGGGATGGACACACCTGTGTTGGAGGGCGGCCCTGCCCCTTGCTGACGATGTGGCTGTGGGCAGGGGCCCTCCCTATACTTTGGCTTCTCCCTCTCTGCAAAATGGGGGTGTGGGCAGCCTGTCTGCCCAGAAAAGGATGTTCTGAGGGTCGTCTGTTTGGAAAGGCCAAGTGGGGTCAGTCGTGTCCTGTTGCTTGTCATTCTGTCTGATCGTGTGTCCCTTCCTTCCCTACCAGACTGCCCTGGGAGCTCTCAGCCCTCGTCCCTGTGTTTCAGCCAGCCTCAGACAGATGCTGACCTCCCTCCCCCGTGATGGTGGCGAGGAGAGGATGAATCACACCAGGCAGGTGTTGAGATCTCTGCCTGGCCAGGGCAGGTACTCAGCGCCAGTGAGCCCCTGAGCTCGGCAGGTGGGGGCTGTTCCTCCCATGGCGTCCTCAGGACCAGAGGGAGCCCTCCCAGCCAGGCCCCGGGGGCACTAAGTCTGGAGGATGGGGGACACATAGCTCTTCCTGCACAATCCCCGTCTTGGGGAGGAAGGATGCGACTGATGGGGCCCGCTGCTAGTCTCCCGTGGTGGGGCTCGCCCTCCCCAGGGAGTGCGTCGTAACCCCCCGCCACCCGCTGCCTCCACAGTCCCTCTGTGTTCACAGCTGTGAGGAGGAACGGTTGTGACCCGACTTGTCCCTGGCAGTCAGCTTTGTGCTATAGGGCACCCGTGTTCCTGGCACAATAAGGAGTCTTTGCTCTGCTTCGTGGCACATGCAGACTGGAAGGCGAGTCCCTGCGGAACTGGGAGAGTTAGCCTGTTTAACTTCGGCCGATAGAGTTGAAAACATTAAGTCTTACTTTAAAAAAAATTTTTAAGGAGACCATCCTTAGGGCTCCTTTTTTCCCCCAAAGAAAGGTGGACCCCCTTGCTTCTTCCTGAGTGTGCTTCTTGAGCTGAGGTGGGCTTAGTTCCTGGCAGGTTGGGCTGCCCATGGAGGCCTTGAGGGAAGGAGGCTGGCGGGTCCCTGGTGGTGCGGCTGTCCCCAGAGCTAAGGGTGGGTGAGTGGTGCCGACCTCGCTGCCTCTCTCACAGACGGGGGTGTGACAGTCCTGCTAGTACATGGCGTGGTCAGAGGTGGGAAGATACCCACTGGCCCATTTTGCTGGTGACTTTGAATCTGACTCAGTAAGGGCCACACTGGCCCCAAATCTTGCTGTGCCCTCTCCCTTCCTCCCTGGCATGGCAGGGGGAGGATTAGGCAGACTCTGAGCAGCCAGCTGCTGACCCTGTCCCAAGGGTTTTGGGTGGCCCCCAGCTTGGTGGGGGCAGATGTGTGGGGCGGCTCCTACCTGTGGCGCCCAGGCAGGAGCCGGGAGGTCGGCCCTGAGCCCGGGCCCAGCACAAGTCTGTGTCCTGCCGTGCCCTGGAGGGTGCGGTGCTCTGGAGCGGGATGTCCCGTGTGTAAGGCAGACGTGATGGAGTTGAGTGTCTGCAGCACAGTGCCCAGCATGTGGCGAGGCTCCGTGTGCTCTGTGGACGGCCCTGTCGGCCCGCTTTTCCTCAGCTCACTCAGGCTGCTGTGCCTGCAGTCCCTCCTGTCCTGTCCTTATCCCCCTTGGTTCCCCGGGGGCTGCCCATGTTCTCCCACGCCATCCTTGCCAGCCCTCCCTCTCTCCCCCTGGGCTCCCGCTCACTCTCCTCCTGGAAGTCCCCAGGCTGCAGGAGGAGGCAGGGGCGATGCGGTGTGGTGGAGGGCCCCCTCCAGCTCCACTGCACGCACCCTCTGCAGTGAGGCCCAAGCTGCTTGAGTGTCCGCTCCTGGAGCAGAAGGCTGATGTCAGTGACAGCCCGCGGCAGTTCCCCTGCTGCTCTGGTACTTCTGAGAGTGGCCTCGTCTTGAGCAGAGGCTGTTGGAAGTGGGGAGGCTCGGGGAGACCTGGGGACCTTGCAGGAGACCAGGTGCTGGTGGTGGCCTCTTGTTGGCGTAAAGAACCTGGGTTTGGACGGAAGATGGGCCCTGTGAATCCTTGAGGCACTGGAGGTGGCCCTGTCCCCAGGCTCTGGCAGTCAGAGAGAAGCAACTATAGGCATTCAGAGGCCATGGCCAAGTGGCCCTCCCTGTCACTGACTGCTGGCCAACACCCTTCCTCCTGGGCCCTCCCCACCTAGGATGTGAGGCAGAGGGTCCCGAAGGAGTCTTAAGAGTCTTTTGCGCTTTAAAATTGTCCAAAGCCCCACGTCGAATGCTGCCTATTCCCTCTGCAGAGCCGGAGGACCCTGGTGTCCAGGAGATTGTGGGGCCTGGCCCCAGGCACGCGGCTGGCACAGCTGTCATGGAGCAGCCCGTTTCCAAGGATGCCAGGCGTGCTTTGAGGCTTAGCAGCTGGGCCGAATGGAGGCCCAGGCCTGTGCTCAGGGCCCTTGGGCCCGGGAGAGCATGTGCCACCTGAGCAGGACAGGCGTCGGCTGTGTCTGGTGTCCAGTGTGCGTTTCCTCGTGCTGCCTCCGTAGAGGACCCTGGAAGACCCACTCTGCCTGGAGGAACCATGATCACAGCCCAGCACCCTGTGAGCACTGAGGTGGTCTCTATCCCTCCCTGGGGTCGAAGCAGCAGACTCGGTGAGAGCCCTTGCCCAGGTCCATGTGGGGTTCCACTGGTTCTCTCCTGTCACAGAGGAGGAGCGGTTTCTTCCTTGTCAGCTGGGCAGCCCCCTCAGTGGGACTAGCTCTTCAGCACAGGTGGACGGGGCGGAGACAGACCTGGATTCTTCTTAGACAAGTACTCAAGGTGTCCGAGGTGGTGGTGGCCGGTGGGCACTGGCGTCAGGGCCCATGTTGTCCAGTGGTCAGTGTGGCGGTCTAGCCGCCTCCTGGGCAGTCACACCCTGCGCACCAGGCCAGACCCTGCCGCAGGATGGGGACCGATGGGGCCATGGGGCAGGGTGGGTAGCTCGTGCCACTCTCAGCAGTGCCCACAGGCCCAGCTCAGGTGGCTGCTGGCGTCAAGGAGGATTGGGGCTGGCCACATTTTTAGAAGTCAGTTATGGTCAGGGCTGGCAGGCGGCATGGTGGTTAGGGTGCTGGATTCCCACATGGCCAACCACAGTTCAAGTTCCAAATCTGGCAGCTTGCTTTCACACTTCTTTTCTCTCTCTCTGGTCAAATTTAATAATAATAAATGAAATGACATAAAATAATTCTTTATTATAAAAAGTCAGTCAGTTACCGTGTTACGTGTTGGCCATTTGTCTTAGGAGTGTCAGAGGAGCAGCATCTGGGCCCTAGCATGGAGGCATAGGCTGGGGAGCTCTCCTTCCCTGGCACCAGGGGAAACGGGGCATCTGTGACGGGTTTTTTTTTTGGGGGGGTGGGGGGAGAGGTTTTTGCTAAAGGACGCACGCGCTCGCTCGCCAGACAGACAGAGAGAGACATAGAGACAGAAAGCGAGAAATCACCCCCCAGAGGGGATGGTCACGCCGCAATCCCTTCTCCTCCATTCTCCTCTCGGAATCTTGGGCACGCGCGCACACGTGCCCGGCGTGAGTTTTAAGCCACCGGGTCCAGGACGCGAACCGCGGTCGACTACGTGGGAGTCCAGTGACATAGCCATTACGCTAACTGCTGGTTCCCGTGGGTTTTAAAAAAGTGACAGGCTGGGACCAGCAGGTGGCGTAATAGTTACATCACTGGACTCCCATGTAGTCAACTGCGGTTTGAGCCCCAGACCCAGTGGCTTGAAACTTGGACTGGGCACATGTGCGTGTATGCCCAAAGGCCCGCGAGGAGAATGGAAAGAAAAGGATTGTGGCGTGGCCATTCCCCCGGGGGTAATTTATTGCTTTCTGTCTGTCTCTCCAGTGAGTGCCCAGGCCTTATTGCAAAAATCTCTCTTAAAAAAAAGTGATAGATGGGAACCAGCAGTTAGCGTAATGGCTATGTTGCTGGATTCCCATGTAGTCGACCGCGGTTTGCGTCCCGGACCTGGTGGCTTAAAACTCACACCGGGCGCGTGTGTGTGCATGCCCAAGATCCTGAGAGGAGAAGGGATTGTGGCATGACCATCCCCCCTGGGGGGTGATTTCTCGCTTTCTCTCTCTCTCTCTCTCTCTCTCTGTCTGGCGAGCACACGCGCCCTATAGCGAAAATCTCCCCCCCCCAAAAAAAAAGTGATAAGAGTTCAGTGCTGCCCTCTGCATTGCAGAAAAGCAGGTTCTGTGA